ATTTGAGAACCTCATCCTTCTAAAGGACCAAAATCCTTCCAAATGCTCCTCTCACAGGTAGATCTTTCCAACCTATCGCTCTATTCTTCCAAAGGGCCCAGATAATCCTGTCATAAATGGATTCCATTTTAAATTCCTGATGGCAAATCAAATCAAATTTTTATTTATTCATAGAGCCCTTAATAACCTGTCTCTTCTTATGCTGGTTTACGCCCCAAAAGTTCTAAGAAATGATGCAACAAAGCATAGATTAAGCATTTCCAAACACCCCCTCTCCCTTATTTTTTCCTTCTCTCAGATTGTCAAAATTAATGCTAGACTACACCTTCTCAATTCTCTAGAACCCTCCACCCTCTATCTATTTTTGGCTTTTTGTTTTTAACCTCTCTCCTCTCAGCCTCTCTTTCTTTCTTTTCCCTATTTCCTTAAAAGCTCCATAGCCTACTTCTTTAATTCGTCGAAAATGATCTCAAACATGCTACTGATCTTTTTAATATTCTGAATGACTCATCTTGAATTTTCTTCCTCGGACAAGTCTCTAATCTTCTCCCTCACTTCCTCTTCCACCATTATTCCCCCCTCTGCATCACAAGCCATTTTCTCCCAGCTAGGTGTGACTACTAGCACCTCACTCTCCATGGAACCTAATGCAAAATCTAGAACCAACAATGTGATCAAAACCTTTGCATATATATTAGCATGCAGAATCATAAAATTCTCAACAAATCCTCCTTACTTTACCCAATAATTTACTTGGAATTATGAGATAAGGTAATTGGGATAGTGTGAATTGATTAAAAACGACACAAATACGAACTTTATAAATTAGAAATCAATTCGAAAGAAAATTGATAAAACGTCATAAGGGGTTACTTTGATAAGTTGAATCAATCCTCCACTCAACAAAATAGTTGAAGAACCTCTCGGAGTAATCTCAATAGCCAATACTAAAGCAACTTGAATAATTTTTATTAATCTCAAAAAGTGAACTTGATTACAAACTAAGGACAAAGCCTTTATATAGTATTTCACCGAATTTATCTACTTAAAAATAAGGACTAAAGTCCCAATAAAATCTTAATTTAATTACAAATCAAATTGCATAAAATAATAATTCAAAGAAATTAAAATTAACTAGGATAGTGTCTTCTCCTCTCATAGCTGAATCTTGGAGTCAAAATTGATTTGAAGTATCATGATGCATCTTGAATTATTCTTCTCTTAATTAATTAAGTAATTGAAGAATTTTGGTTGAAGAAGGATGAAACTTGTGATCTTGGATCATGAAACACATGGAGAATCCGACTAGGGAGGAATTTCACCTTGGCCGAAACTTCCTTGAATTCTATCCTTCTCCTGATGAAGTTATCTTTAACTTGAGATCTCTTTTCAATTTATGTATAACTCCTTATGTAATGAATTTCACCTAGAAAGAAAGTAAAGAATACAAAAAATATGTGTGAGCAAAGAGGAAAATTCCCCTCGGATTGGATTCCTTATGAGGGGTGGGAATCCTCAAGCCACGGGATTGCTTTCCCGCAGGTTTCGGATTGCTTTCCCCGCAAATTCCTTCTTGCCAAAGGATCCTTCTTCTTCTTCTTCTAATTCTTAGACTTTTCTTTATCCTCTTCATGCCGCTTATCTAAGTCAAAAGAGACTCTTGAAGCTAATCCGAAAGAGGAGAGTTTGAGTGAGGACTCTCCTCATGGGTAAGGGAATCCTGTGCAGGCAGGACTCCTTTCCCTCGCATCTGCTCGGCTACATGTGCGAAAGGGACAATTCACACATGGTCACATGCTTGTATGGCGATCTGGGCCTTCTTGGCCGAATGGTCTAGCTTCTTTTCTCCTTGAACCGATGCTTGGTCCCTCCTAATCCCATTAAGCCCATGAGTGGCCTTATTTACCCCAAGCCCGCGACTTTGGATTTCTTTGGGTCTTCAATTGGACTTCCCTTGTTGCGAGGCCGGTCTAGGAAACCCCCTTGGACCAAAAACCAAATCTATCATGTAGTGGAATTCACAAGACTCCTTGTGGAAGGAGAAATCCCTCTTCCCGCAGGCAGCTTCTCCTTCCCGCAGATCCTGCGCGCGTGTGCTATGCTCGCACGTTGTGCCTGCAGATGCTCTTGTGTGCTGGCCTATGCACGCGGCTTCATAACTGCATGCGCATGCGCAAGCACTATGCACGCGAGTATTCTTCCCACCAGCTGCCGCTTGCTTACAGGTTCCCTACACTTTGCGAGAATCTCCCAATTTGCGAACTTTCTTCTTCCCCGCATGTGAGCATTACTTCTCGAGATTCTAATTGGACTTTGGAGTGTGTTTTTTTGGCCTAGTCAGGATCACATAAAAACCACCGCCAAAATTTGGATGGAACCCTCCTTTTAAATATCAGCAACGTCGCTATCAACCATCGAAGCATTGGCTTCAATCCCCTTTCTCCCTACCCGATCCTTCCTCCTTTTGATCACCAATAGACTCCCCCACTCTTCTATCCTTTTTTTTAGATAAGAAGTATATAATTCTATTACTATAAATACCAAAGAGGTGCAAATCCATTTGCAAGAATATTTAAAAGTTAACCATCATCTCTATCAACTCACCAAAATCCTACATGGGTTGCAAAAATTGACCAATAACAAAAAAAACTAGGGTCTAAAACCATCTAACTCCAATTTTCTGTTATCCTCTCCATCATCATAAACAATGTGACCATCCACCTTCGCCGTCAATCAATAAAGTTCTTGCTCAACCCCAATATGCTTTGCAGGTTTGAGCCTTTTTTTTGGGTCACAGATCCCCAGATCCATTTAATCCAAGACCCAGTCTTCTAACCCGTCTCCTAGGCTCGACCCACTTGGCCTGTTTCCCTTTCCCGACCCATGTAAAATATTTATAAAGCCCATAACATGAGCAGGCTTTAACGAAAAAATCCATGACATGAGCAGGCAGTTTTAATCCAATCAAGCTTTCATTTAATCTTCGTAAAACCACTACCATTAATCACATCATTACTGCCTCTATTGTTGCTTTACTCAGTGAAATGGGACAACCAGAAGACCAAGGCACTCCAAATGATATTGGAAATTACCATATAAGAACTGGAAGAGAAGACCACAGAGGGTTTGATTCTAGAACCCACAACATTTATTAAACTCGAAAGAGAATCCAACATGTATTATGCCCCCAAGGCACGTCTACACATTAGTGACTAGTGATGAGTAAAACTGGTCGTAATGAAATGAAAATGAAAATAAACAGGCACTAAAATGATGATTTCTAGAAATTGTAGAATTATAGATATGATTTGGGGGGGGGGGGGGGGCAGAGAACCTTCTTCTCGGTTTGTTTTTCTGGTAATTTTCTCTTGGCACTATCTTTTGCTTCTGCTACTCCTCTGATTCCACTTACTTCTTTTCCAGAGGCATTGGCAACATTTATGGTTGGAAAGACTTCTTCTTGTTGTAAGAAAATCATCTCTTCCATCCCATATTTCTCCGTGCTTGATGCATCATCCTGTGGTCCATATAACATCAGTGAATGATATTACATTAATATCTGGAATAACATCTACATTTTTTTCGTTAAAAGGATGAAAGAAATACAAATATGAAAAAATCCAAAATTAGATAAGAAACACATTAGTTAAGACATCCCTGATATTGAATAAAAAGCTATCAGCAACTCAGAAAGGGAAAAAAATAAGAGAAAGGAAAAAAGAAAATAAGTACTTATATAATCTTTTATGTAGTAACAATAATAACTCAACAAAAACAAGAGAACCAACAAGAGGATCATGTTTTCCCTTCTTTTCATTTTAACTGCTTCCTTTTAAATAGAGAGAATTTAACTGAAATCTGTTAACAATTAGTTCCATCAGCTTTTGGAGCAATGGACACATAACAACCCACAAAGCACATTACTCTCCACTAACATGCCAATTTCTCAGGTGTCTTCCCATTGCTTTTTTACCAGGACAAAAAGAAGTCTCTTCGCAGAATTACAGTCCAAAGGTCTCTAAGACAATGACTCCCAGGATCTAAAGAACCACAGAGAATTGCTTGAATGCCAAATTTAAATGCATAATCTTCACTTTTACGAGAGTAAACAAGGAACTTAATACAATTATAATAAACACACTAGTTGACGCGCATGAATTTCAAATACTAACTCCCATACACTGTCCCAAGAACAACTGAGTGGTGAATTTCTAATATTTCAAAATTTGTAAGAAATTGTTAGAAATTAATCATAATCTTATACATTTGATAGATAATTAAACTAACTTCATTCATATCTTCAATTCCACAACTATAGATTTGTTTCCTACATGTCAACTAAGAAATCAAAAAAAATATCCAATATGAACTGGAAATTGAATTTATTTGAAAATTTAAAATACTATTTTCATCCAAATTTCTATCATATTCATATTATATTCTCATTCATATTCTATGTATTAGAATGTAAACTAAATTCAACGTAAAATGATTCATAAGATAGTGGATAGCCTTCCTTTCCATTATAAAAAGACATATGATAAATCAAGCGGAAGATCCAAGCACTAACCTGAGGAACCCACGCCCCAAGATTCTTATCCCACTTGTACCTAGTTCCATCATCATCAGTGAATTCTTCTTCACCATCTGGTGGTGTAAAAGCACTATCATGATAATCTCCCCCAAACTCACCATGACTACTAGAAATAGACCCAGTCTTCAATAGTTCTGCCTCTGCTTCAGCCTCCTTAATCTCCTTTTGCCATTTTTCAAACTCATCATCAGCATTGGTAGAGACTGCATAAAGCATAACATGGTAAGAGATTACCCCAATGCATATAATATTATCATCAATGAGCAAGGAGGGATGTCCTTTAACCTGCAGTAGTATAATTTACTTCTTCTTTGCTAAGATATCTAGTCTTTAGTCCAGCTAACTCTGCTCCCCCCTCTTTAACCTCATTCTGCAATTTCTCAAGCTTGGAAGGTGCTACACATAGAAAACATCATAAGGATCACTAGTTTTATGAAAAGAGGTGTCATTCAAAATAAACAAAAGATGCAAAAAGAATAGGACAGGGGAGGAGAAGGCACCCATAGTATAGTCAACTGCCAGTTGAGAAATTCCAGACATCAACCAAGGAATGGAAGATAAAGGCTGCCATTCGCTTCTTCCCTCAGACCATACAAGTGTACTCTCTAAGAGGAACCCGTTTAAGCAATGCTCTGTGCAGGCGAAGCAAATAAGGAAAGCAGAGGATTCAGTAGCTCATTAGACCAATTGAACATGTTACAGATGGAACAATTGTCCTGAAACCTTGCTATTGATTACTTGTACAACTGAAATTCAAAAAGGAGAAATTAACTAGTGAATTTCAGTACTAAAATATTTGTAATTTCAAGCTATAGCCAATTGGCATGATGAAAGAACTGAAGGCTCTATATTTTTGTTTACAATTTCCTTTTGCCATAAAGTAGTCCTCCAAATTCATTACAGTAAAGTATTAAAAATAATTCACAAGGATTAAAAAGTCAGGAGTAAATCAGAAAATTCACTAGTTATTTCAATCAACATTTGTATAACTCACCACGCAGCTCAGAAGAAGTGTAGGGGCCAACATGTTGTTGATTTTCGCCAAGAACATACCAGCCAACTTCAGCAACTTTATCAATGTTCTCACCAACACCATTCTGCTCACCTACATAATCAATGAAAACACCTGATTAATCTTCCTTTATTTTGTTTCAACCACCGACACCTCTCTGATTTGCGTACGCCATTCAACCATTGCATCTAACTACCACTAGATGCAACGAGATAACTACAATCAATTAACACCATGCTCAATTTTTAAGAGTGTTTCAGACTGCTTGTTTCAAACTTATAACCACTTTTAAGGTGTTTATCTTGATCTCTCCATTTGCAACATTAAAAAAAGAAGGTAGTAGTCGTTCTGAAAAGTTGCTAAAAAAAGCATTTCATTCTCCACTTTTTTTATATAACAGAATTACTTAAATACCACTTCATAACCAGTTTTAGTTGCTTTATTTTTTAATCTCTACGATTGGTGACATTAGAAAAAAAGTACTTGTTGGGTTCTTAAAAGTGAGAAAGTAAAAAGAACAAGCATTTTATTCCCAACTTTTTCCTATCTAACAGATTTACTTAACTACCCAATTTTATATCCACTTAAAATTAACAATTTTATATACTTATTAACATACTTGTTAAAAAAAACATTTTTCATGTTCATAAAAAAAGTAACTGTTTATTTTAATAATTAATATCTTATTGTAAAAATTTAAAAAAAAATATTTAATTTATTTCTACTATATTTTTAGTGTTACAAATAATTCATATATATACAAGAATTTCTAAGTACAAATAAGGAAATTTTCCTTATATTAGAAATTAATAATAAGAGCTATATAAAAAAAATATCTCAATTATTTAGGTAACAAAATATTCATGTCAACACTTCCCCTCAAGTTAGTACGAAAATATCATACATGCCCAACTTACATATCAAGTTCTAAAGAGTTTTATTGCAAAGTTCTTTAGTGAAGATATCTGTCATCTGATTGTTAGAAAATACATGATATAAGCATAAGGACCACTTTCTCTTTTATGAAGTGATGGTCAATCTCAATATGTTTCGTCCGGTCATGTTGAACTAGATTTTGGGTAATACTAATGTCTGTTTTATTGTCACAAAACAATAATAGACTTCTTTCTTTAAACAATTTTAATTTACTCATTAATTACTGCAACCATAATAATTCACATACCCCTTGAGCTATTACTCTATATTCTATTTCAGCAGTAGAACGGGCAACTACACTCTACTTTTTACTTTTCTATGTAACCAAGTTGTCATCAACAAGTATGCAATAACCAATAATTGACCTTCTATCATTTAGAGATTCAGCCCAATTGGTATCTGTAAATACTTCTATCTTAAGATGACTATTTTTGAAAAAGAGTAAACATCTTCCTTGTGCAGAATTTAGATATCGAAATATTCAAAAGACGGCATGTAAATGAGTCTCGTAAAGATCATGTATGATGCAGACATAGGTTCAAAAGGCATTAAAGAGAAGCATGAATAAGATATTACAATGTCAGCTTGTCTAATCACAAGATTTCAAGCCAAGAAGCTAAAACATAAGTTTCAAAACTTTGTACAAAAATGGATACAACAAGAACTTAGTATATGTGGATTGTTTGAAGAATCAAATAAGCCAAAAAAATCATTAATTTCGTCTAAGTGTATAGGCAGAATTTAAAATGACTGTCTAGGATCATTTGGTTATTTCTTAAATAATTAAATTATATTTATGTTTTCCTAAATCATTTAAAACTATATTTCTCTAGATTATTTAATAACATGTTTCCCTCGATCATTTAATACTATATTTTCTTAAGTCATTTAAATTATATTCATGTTTTCCTAAATCATTTAATTATGTTCATATTTTTCGAAGTCATCTAATTATGATCTTTTGGCAGAATCTATGTGTTTTAACATATTAATATCTCATTTTCAATGTAATATGATACACTTCGATTATTGAATGAATTTCATTGCATTTGGTAGAACTTTGACAAGTGAGAATTCTTATTCTTCTTGTTGCATTAAAAATTGAATTAACTCATCAAGGTATCTTGTGGCATTCATTCATTCTTACTTCTTTCATCCCAATCACTCAAGTTCTTAATTACAAGTTAGTTGTGGGTTTGGTAGGAAGGATTTGTTTAGGGTTCTAAGTTATCTATGCTAAATATATATGTGGGGTTCTAGATGTAATTTTTAATTCTCAGGTTCCGCATTAGTTTGGTAACAGAGCTTTAGCCTTGGATAAATCCCTAGGTATCATTTGTGTTCGATTTACCTAAGTTTATCTTCTTGTTCTTATTTGTTTACACTGTTCAACGTCTATCTTTGTTGTTTTTAATTCTGGTTGCACCTTTTTCTTATTCTTCAATTCTATGTCCTTTATTTTTTCATATTTTGTTCTTGTTAGCCGAATTAAAAAAAAAAATCAAAAAAATAGTCAAAAAAAAAGAGAAAATCAAGAAAAGAAATATCATAATCGGCTTCTATTGCAAAAGAGAAAATGTGTGTTCATAGAACTCTCAATTTTATCCATTTTAGTCAAAGAGCATTCACTTCACATATATTGCCACAATAGCATAGTTTTTATTATCTAAAGCGTAGCTTACATTGGGAATATATTATCAGTTTACATATTCAGATTTCTCATTATGAGTGATCTGAATTCTATTATCATTAAACGAAAATCGTTTTCTTGCATTCTTAGTTTTATTTCTTCATATACCTCTCATTTCCATTACACTACAAGTAGCTAATTGCATCTTACTTACTTTAATTAATTTAAAGAAACGCATTCACCTTAATCTGTGTGTTTAGATTCTATTCTTGTTTATCTAGTTTTCATATACTGTTAATTACTTACCTTCTCATTCATTAGGATTCCTTGAAGTGTTACATAAACAACTACTTGCTTATCTTGATTGAGTTGCTTTCAATTCTTAAATACAGCTTGAAGAAGATAACGGAATGAGGGTGTGAGCGTAGAAGATGATTAAAGCCAAAATCTTGAGTAAAAGCACGAGTGAAGTGACAAATCTGTTCGAGAGTGAAACACGTAAGGGAGTGTTGTAAGGAACTTTCTTTACTAACATTTTTCTTACAGGTTTTACATCATATCAAATTCTGAAAGTGAGAAGCGTGAAATAACCAGGAATAACATAGCTTTTATGCTAGAAGCAATGCAAAGGAAATTTGAGAAGCATAATAGGGACATAAACAACATGAAATGTGATATAGATAGTCTTCGAGACCGACAAAGTGGTCCTAATCAAAGGAGATAAAATAGGAGAGGAGAAAATATGTTGAATGATGACGAGATAGAAAGGAAAATAGATGAAGATAGTGAAGAGTCACGGTACAAAGAAGACGCAAAAGAAGGGACAGTAACATTAATTCTATCAAGATGAAGATTTCTTCTTTTTAAGGTAGAAATGATGTTGAAACTTATCTAGAATGGGAGCAAAAAGTTTAATGATATTTGAATGTCATAACTACTCCGAAGAGAAGAAGGTGAAGTTAGCAACCGTTGAATTTACTGATTATGCTTTAGTTTGGTGGGTTCAATTACTCATCTCTAGGAATCGTAATGGAGAGGCACCCATCACCACCTGAACTCAAATGAAAACTATCATGAGAAAAATGTTTGTTCCATCATTTTATTATAAAGAGCTCAATCAGAAATTGCAAAGGCTCACTCAAGAGTCTAAATTAGTTGAAGATTATTACAAAGAAATGGAGATAATCATGATTCGAGTATATATCGAGAATGATAGAGAAGCTACCATGGCACGATTTCTAAGTGGCTTGAATAGAGAAATTGCCAATATAGTTGAATTACATATGTTGAGTTAGAAGAAATTGTTAATATGGTCATGAAAGTGGAAAGACAATTGAAAAGTAAAAGGACAGTAAGGTTCTAATATCGAGGAGGATAGAGAAACTACCATGCCACGATTTCTAAGTGGCTTGAATAGAGAAATTGCCGATATAGTTGAATTACATATGTTGAGTTAGAAGAAATGGTTAATATGGTCATGAAAGTAGAAAGACAATTGAAAAGTAAAAGGTAATACTCTGGTTCTAATAGCAGTTGAAATTTAAAATTGTCCAAGAAAGAGGAGAAGACCAAGGAGAAGAGCTTTGGTTCCAAGGAGAAGGGTACAGATTTCAACAAGGTAATACTCTGGTTCTAATAGCAGTTGAAATTTAAAATTGTCCAAGAAAGAGGAGAAGACCAAGGAGAAGAGCTTTGGTTCCAAGGAGAAGGGTACAGATTTCAACAAAGGCAAAGATAAAGGTACTTCATCATCTATTAAAGGTACTTCTAACCCACATCTAATAACAAATATAAGAATATTAAATGTTTTAAATGCTTGAGAGTGGAAAATATTGTTTCACAATGTCCAAACAAAAAGGTCATATTTATTAGGGACAACAGGGATGTTGAGTCTGAATCTGATTCTGATTCTGGTAATACGCCACCTTTAAAAGATTGTGATGATGATGTTGAGTATGCTGCCTATAGAGAATCATTGGTTATTAGGTGAGCTCTTAATATACAAGTTAAAGAGGAAAGTTTAGAACAAAGGAAAAATCTGTTCCATACAAGATGTCTTATAAGTGAAAATGTTTGTGTTGTGATCATTGATAGAGAGAGTTGTGCAAATGTGGCTAGTACTACTTTGGTGGAGAAATTAGGTTTAAAATGTGAAAAGCACCCAAGACCCTACAATCTGCAATAGTTGAAGATTATAGAGAAGTGAAGGTGATTAAACAGGTTATAATTTCATTCTCTATTGGAAGATATGTTGATGAAGTATTATGTGATGTAGTTCCCATGCAAGCTGATTATTTGTTGTTAGGGAGACCTCGGCAGTTTAGTAAAAGAACCATACATGATGGGTACACAAATAGGAACTCATTTACTTTGAATGGCAGAAATTTCACACTTGCGCCATTATCTCCTTTAGAAATGTATAAAGATCAAATGAAGATGATACAAGCTTCTAATGGAGATTCAGGTAGTGAGAGAAGTAAAAAAAAAATGAGGGAAAAAAGTTGGAAAAGAAAAGAGAAAAAATAAC